TTTGCAAAAATAATTTGAAATGTGTACTGCAGCACACCTTTCCACTTTTGTGGCAAGCCTGTCTCAGATTTACTGTTTTTAAGTGTTTCAGCCTTTTCCCTTTTTTGTTATTATTATTATTATTATTTTAATTATAAATTTTTTCTTCTTCTCTGGATTCCTTTCGATCTGTATAGTGTGAATCATTTTATAATAATATGGACTGTAGATGGTGAAATCTACACTCCATGATTTTGCAGAAAGATGTATTATTGTTTTAAATTATATGTTTTTGAGGAACGTTGTTTTCAAAGTTTTTGCAGATTCAATCACCCGTTTTCAAGTATCTTGCACTACTATGTATAAATAGCATCTACAGTAACACTGTTTACACATAGTGCAAAGAAAATACTGCTCTTTTCACTTTTACAGTGTAAATGGCATCTATCTATCTAACGCTATTGCACTTAGTGCAAATATAATTCAGATTGGGCTTTATACTAGTGTTGTCAAAAGTACTGGTATTGATTCCAAGTCAATACTTAATTAAAGGGATAGTTCACCCAAAAATTTAAATGAAATCATCATTTACTTAGTTGCTGGTCTCGGTGTAGGACTGCACGTTCATGAGACTTTATTAGCACTGCAGTACCGACAGGAAAAACACATTTCATGATACCACTTATTGTGTGTTTTTTAAAACATTTTTATTATTTTTATAAAAACGCTGCAAGAGGCATGTAAAGTTATAAGCAGATATGTATATAATAGGATATTAGGGTGTAGTCTAATAGGATATTCACTAAGAAAAAAAAATAGGGTTGGACTGTTTTTCCATTTATCAGGAATAGATTGGATTGTCAAAAATGTATTATTATTGTCTTTTCTGTTATTTTCTTCAATGGTTTTGCACAGATGTGTGTGTGTGTGTGTGTGTGTGTGTATGTTTATGTGCTTACACACACGGCTTCTGCCTTTTAACTAGAGTGTATTGAAACACTTTTAATCCGAGTCTACCCAGTAGCTGAACCCAGCAGGGCTTAGGTGGGTTTTAAAATACCACTGCCAGAACCTCCTCACAACATTTACAGAACATTTTCCAAGCAGATGGGTGCTTGGCAGTGGCATAGCTCTGAAGCCAACCCTACCCGCAGGCACAGATGATGCCCACACACCTGGACACACTTGTTGTCCTGCACTCAGGAAGCAGCCATTTCCACCCGTACGACGAGGCTGTTGTTTCGACGTTTGTGTGCGCGGGTGGTCACACCAGACGATGCCTTGGGGCAGTTCCACTTCTGTTCAATTTTCCCCAGATATAAAAGTCACGTTTTTTTTTTTTTTTTCTATCTGGGTTTAGAATCTCTTGGAAGTGCAGAAGTGAGGTCTGTAATCTGCAGCGGGTCACACTTTTAGCCAAAGAGTGTTTTATTCCAGGCATCATTTGTATTCCGATCTAAATCTGACACACCACAGCCACAGATCAGAGCGGAACGCTTCTGGTGTTTGGATGAGGGGTGGAGGGGGGAATGAAAGATGAGAGGGAAGAGAGGAAAAAAAAAGTTACTGTTTTGTTAACTGAAGCGCTTTGAGTTAGCGGCATGCTGTAGATGCTCTGCATCACCCACTGCTGTTTTAAGCATATGAAGTACAATGTCAAAACCCTTCAAAATGAGAATATGTGCATGTCAGTATGATGGAGGGATCCCATGAGTAGTTATCTGAATGGCACCTGCAACATGGTTATTATTGGATCAAGCTTTTAGATAGTCCAGGCTGACAATCTCTGCTCCACTCTGATTACCTGCTAAACCCAGCCTGGTATAATTTTGTGTGTGCGAGCATGTTTTTATGTGTGGGAGCTAAGCTGTTTTTGACCTGTGTGAAGCTCTGGCAATGACCTGACACTTAATCCATTAATGGACTCTTCATACTTTTTTCATTCACTGTTACATGCACTTTCTCTCTAAACATCCAAACATGTATTTGATAGCGCTCTAACACTCTGACACACTGGGCCAGAAACACACACACACACACACACACACA